TGTCTGCGCATTAGTCTTCGCCTCGAGACGAGGTAGATCGGCCCTTCAATTGCAACGTCGTGCTCGCGCCGGTCTCCTATCGAGACGGTGTAAGCACGTGTGGTTCCGCCAATCTTTCTCTGTTCCGCATCCTGCAATATGTTTCCATACCGCCGAGGTGCGTGGTCGTCGAGGCATGGTTGACCAAGTATGCAGATCTGCGACTAATTTACCCGTCGCTTCTGTCGGGGGCCATCCATCTTTACTACTCGTTCTCGTCCAGCGGAGTTCAACGGTACGGATATATCCGTAGCCCTCGCAGTCGGCGGAGGCACTCCGACTGCCCCGACTTCACGGAGTTGAACGCCGATTAACTACATGATGGTATTCTTCCCCAAAACGTGCTCGAATATTGACCAATGACGAGTGCGTACATGTATGTGTAATCAACCACATGTATGCAGCGCGATCGTAGGGGGCGGGTGATAACGAGGCTAGACCCGCAGGGGATTTGAAAGCAGCTTGACGAATAAGGGAACTCACACGAGGCGAGCGACGGCGTGTTGAAATGCCTTGCAGAACCCTTCATCTACACAGAGAGGCTGTATATGGTGTTCTATTTTGCCAATCGTGATGTAGAGCGCGGCCAGGAATACAGGCTCGGCGGAGGACGCGTACTTGGTACCTTCAAGTAGATAATCGGAGAGCACCGAAATCAACACCCGCTGCATGGAAGGCTTCTTTGCGTCGTAACGTCGTATGCAGTGAGCTGCATCATGCTGATACTAGGCGCGGTAGCCTTTACGGTATCTGTACCCTACATGATCAGCTGCCGGGAAGGGGAAACCGAGCCGACCAACCACCGCATGCAATATCGTCCGCGGCCGCATTTGGCCAACAACCATGGGCGATCGCATTGCAATGTCGATGCGAAGATGCCAGACGATGTCCATGTAGTCAGTCAATGAGAAATGGAAGCCTTTCTTTTGCAAACAGTCGCTGAAGTGAGGCAGTGTGCGCGCCAAGATTCGCATTTCGGCAAACCAATAATTAACCCCACGGATCGTACTGGGGTGTCTCCGCAGAGTTGCATATTGGGGCTGAGTTCCAGATCGATAGATGGATGCGAGCCTGAGGAGTCATACTTGCCTGATCCGATGTTGTGGCAGTTGGGATGCGGTACGCTGTTTCATGAGCAGACCTCACCGCTTCTTGCGCCAGGCGAGACTGTAACTACGTACTGAAGGCTGCGCGCTGTCTTCGCATCGTCGCGAAAATGATGGGAAGAGACATCCGCGCAACACCCACTGAAGGCAATCCGGCCGCCGGATACATAGGACAAAAAGGGCGCGCTGGCTCGTGGCTCCGCCCTTTCCGTCGGCGTTCAACCCTCTCAATTCCGCAGGCAACGCTAGCGCTCGTAATCACGTCCACCGGTTCCAAGCCCATCAGCTGCTAGGGTGCCCGTCGTTGATTCGCGCCCTACGGATCAAAAAAGTGATGCCTGATTTTGGAAGCCGTCGCACTTTGGACCCGTATTAGACTGCCAGAAACAGCCGAGGTGCGCTGTCGTGGCGCCACGCTGGCACTGTTCTCGTGTCTTTGTCGGCTTGAAAGGGCATTCAAAACGATTTCGAGAACGACTTTAGACTTAGATCGCAACAAGATGTGTTTGGAAACTCGCGCGGGATTTTCTTTCGCCGTGTCGCACGATAGACCGGGCGGTCAACGCTTGGAGGCCGCTGGTGGCTAAGACGCTTGTAGACAAGCGGGCCACGGGTCAAAGCCGTCTTACCCCAGTCCCGCATGTCCTATTGGTGGCAAGATGCTGCGCCCTTTTTGCATCTAACCCCGAATTGCTGTGGTCGCAGTTTCCCGCTCTGAGTCACTCTTTCCTCTCTTGCGCACACGGCGCACAGCGGGGCTGGGGCTGGGCTCGCACAAAAACCTGCCCTCCCCCGCCAGGCATCCATTTCTCTTCCTTTCTCTTCATCCCACACCACACTACCTCAACACAACACACACACACACATGACATTCAGAACAATGGCTGTCTTCTAGCTTCCTTCAAAGCTTCCCTGTCGCCTTCAAGCCGACACCTTGGATCAATCAATAACCCACCCACTCCCCACTCCACTCCAGCACTCAGAGTCTTCCTTTTTGGAACCTCTGAACTACAGCCCAGCCTCGCGCAGCTCTAGTTCTCCGGCAACAACTATTCCCCCCTTCGACGTTAAATCGTCCACCACGGCTTCCTACCAGTCATCATGGCTTTCCTCACCAGCTCCCCAAGCCTCAAGGCAACCACTGATTACGTCCCATACCGAATTCGCAACTCCGCAGACAGACTTCGTGCTCTACGACCAGCCGGCACAAGTCCCTCCTCGGCCGCAGCGTGCACCGAGCGCACCTCAATCTGGTCATCTGTTTAACGTAGGCCACCAGTTCTACGCAAATTCTGCGCCTTCATCAACATCAGGATTTCAACAGCCTCAGTCACAACAACGTCCACCGGTCCCTTTGTTCAATAGCTCTAGCAACAACCCTCCGCAGCACAACGTCACAGCCATGGCAGGTAGGACAAACTCCAGCCGCGCGCAATCTGGGCTCAGACTCACCAGCCCCGCAGATCTGAACAGCTCCAACTCGTTCGACTCGGGGGCCAGCCTCTACGCCGGCCTCCACGGCGATATGTCTCCTTGGGAGGCTCCCGCAACCGCGTTCACGGCAATCAACCCCTCGTCCTCGGGGTCGACGCGCACGGTTTCTCCCAAAGACATCTTCGCCGATCCGCTTCAGTCTGCACCACCTTCGACGACCTTTACCAACATGACTTCTCCCGACATCAACGACTCTCCCTTCATCAACGATAGTTTCGAGACCTCACCCATCTTTAACGGGGAATCTTTGATGAACACCGACGCTTGGTTCTCGCTGTTTCCCGACCAGGAGACGGAGTTTGCCGCAACCCCCGCTTCTGCTGCTCTGGTCGCTCCGGCTCTCGAGCGCACCATCAGCACCAACTCTGCGGGCAAGTCAAGCGTCTCCAGCGCAAACTCGCCCCTCGTCTTGGACAATACGCAACGGAGAAAGTCGTCAGCTACTGGTTCTCCTGCTACCAATGCATCCATTAGCAAGGCTCGTCGTCGGAAGGGTGCCCTTCCCCCAATCATGGTTGACCCCGCCGACAAGGTGGCGTTGAAGCGAGCGCGCAATACTCTTGCAGCTCGTGATTCGCGACAGAGGAAGTTTGACCATGTTTCCAATCTTGAGAAGCGGAATGCGGAGCTAGAGGCAGAGGTTGAGAAGTGGAAGAGCATCGCGCTCTCTCAGGGTTATTCCGGATCATGAACATCTGCGTTTTGCGAATTCGGTCCGGTTCAGTGGTCTTCAGCGAGCTGGTGAGGCTAGCCTCACCTCCCTGGACCAAAAGTCTTTCATTTTCTTTTGAGTTATTTGCTTTTCGGGATGCATCTCACCTGTCTATCGTCTTCGATGACTGAAGGTAGATCGTCCATCTCTACTGTTTGTGTTTTCCCGGCCGGAGCGTAGTCTCCCTTCCTTCGGTTGATCGACTCCTCCTGGTAACGGCTGCGATGGTTTGTCGGCTCTCGGGTCGGCGATGCGAATGTATTCAGTCCTTTAGTGTAGTTCCGCGTCTGCTGCGGAGTGCTTTCAAGCTGAAGCCTCCGGGGACCGTCTATTATATACATCTGTACTCATGACTCCCGCCTTGCACAGTGACTCCTCTGGTGGTCCGTGGTATGACTAACATGCTGCTCGATGACTTGGTGAGCGATGACTGGTCATGGGTCATATGTACTCGCGTCTTCATTGGCTCGCGTTGGTACGCGGCCATGACAGGTGTCACTCTGTGTATCGTGTTCATATCGTGAACGGTTCTTATCGGTCTTGAGGTACAACGAAGTGGAGTCGCGACCCCGCCGTCGGGCTGCATCGCGTTTTCGTACATGCTTCCGCCGTGACTCCCCTCTCGACCGGGCTTCAAGTGAGGTCTGCATAGCGTTTACTGTGCCTGACGCCAAACTGAGATTGGCAAAAACCGGACTCGTGGTGTTGGTTCCTGTTTGCACGATCGCCTCGTGGTCCGGGTCCTTGCGCGGCCTTACTTACCTATTACCTTTTTGAGGTTCGCCACCCTTCGAGTCACCATGTGGCACGGCCTTGTCGGAAGGGCACGGCCCTGCAAGAATTCATTGCCGATGACTAAGGTGATCAGCCCCGCGCTACGCCCTTTTGAATCGGCAATGAATTAATGCATGGGGGTGAGGGGTGCTTGTTTGTGTGATATTGTGAGTACGCGTACAGGCGCATGTGGTGGGGCGATATCGCTGCTCTTCTGCGCTTCGGCGAAGAGTACTGTTAGGACTCCGTTCCATTCTACATGTCGGGCATATTATAATCAAAGTGCGCTTGAACGCAGACACGAATTACACCATTTACATGATAGGAAGAGCGCGCCGATCGCAACCGTTTCCTTGGCGACGCCGTGGCTCTTCGCAAATCGCTTGATACCCGTGGCTGGTGCTCCTGTCGTCGTGGCAAAGAGAATTGGCTCTTGAAGTAAAGGGGTGTGTTCTCATTCTCGAAGAAGTCAGTCCTTTTAGGCAGCAGGATACGTTGTATTATATTATTATAGTCAGGTAGATAGCCTGTGGTACATAGGGTCATTCGTATAAATCGACCAGGGGATCAGGACGAGAGAACCATAGTTCAAATTCCCTGGCTAGGATGCGTATACTGTAGCTTTGCAACCAAGTTCTTCTTGACCAAAAGCACGTGATGCCATACATCCCAGACCCGTAGACCATGTCCCCGCTGTTAGATCCCCTCTAGCCCCTCGCTACTATCCTTATCGCCAGGATAAGCACAACCCCGCAGCCCTCGAAAGCCGCCCCGCTCAGCATGCGTCCAACCAAATCGAGCGCCTACTGACCCATTTATATGTAGAAAATATACTAACTAACCTCCAAAGTCTTTTAAAATCTCTAAAGTATCAAGGCAAGATGGCCGAGTGGTCTAAGGCGCTGTGTTTAGGCTTGTCACAAAGCTCAAATCCGCAGTCTTCACGGGCGTGGGTTCGAATCCCACTCTTGTCAAGCGCTTTCATTTTTGTTTTGTTTTTGCTTGCGGCGTGGTGTGGTGGTGTAGAGGGATGGGTGGGAAAGCGAGGATCATGTGTTGGCCAGCTTCCGACGCGCGCCGATTGGACGACCGCAATTTTTATTATTCAGGCTATGGAACATTGAATGAAAGGTGTCTCTGCACAAGTGTGAAATATTTTTATTCGGGTCTGTGGTTTGGTGCGCTTGCTTTTTGGCAGTGTTGTCTTCGGCTGCGCTTGCTGAATTCCCACACGCGGTACCGTGCATCGCGACTCCACCACCGCCAACGGCGCTTGAGAACTTCGGCACCCAAATAATTATCCTACCACATCGAATCCCAACACACAAAATGTCCACCCAAGACGAGGAACTACTCCTCTCTGTAAGTCTATCACGTGCATTCGCTTCTTACCTCTCGCCTAAGCACACATACACCTGCATGCGCTACGCTTGGAACTGCATCTAAACTACAATGCCCTCCACACTAATATGTAAGCAGCTCGAATCCTCCCTTCGCAATGCACTCGCCACATTCGGGCCCTCTAGTCAGCAGTACCGCAGCATAAAGTACATGGTGGACGAGCAGGCTGCTAAAATTGCGCTGCGGAAGTTGAGTTTGAATGCGGAGGTGACAGCGAAGAAGGAGGGGAGGATGGCTGTGAATCTTCCTCTGAGACCGAAGGGGGTTTGAGGCCTGGGTGGGTTGGGGAGAAAGGGGACGGCGACTGGCAGGCGGGTTGTGGAGTGCGAGTTTGGATGGTCAGTGGGAGCAAGACTAGTTGACTGGCAAGCCTGGGTACATATGGAAGTGAGTTACCACCTGATACAGTATTAGGGCAGTGTTTTGTTGATACTTTCCGTTGTAAAGTGTATCCAGAGTTCTGTCAAGACACTGTAAAATATGTTTTCCACATGCATGGCCGTTCGCGGCCTTCTCGCACAGTTGCTCCTTGTAAATGGGGTGGCATTCCAAATGGCTAATCGAAGTTGAATGTACCTCCCCTTTTCAGCTTGTCTCGTCATACAGGCAGCAGAAGGATTCAATCATAGTATCCTTTTCCTGATGCCAAACTGAATCTGGTGACCAAGCACCTCCAAAACGCAGCGCATTGATGTGACGATTACCTGCATTCGCTTCTGAGTATGAATGCTGCGAAAGTGGTATATCGCACAATCTCTTCCAACCCGCGACCCGAGATCATACCCTATATGCAGACTGCCCCACGTAGCGCACCCCTATAAACAATCCAGATCGCCCGCTCACCAAAAACCGCCGGCCCTCAAAGACTGTGGAGCCCGCCCCAGAAATAAAACATTAGAAGCCAAGAAAACGTATATCAAGAAGCCCGGCCGAAATCATCCCTGGTATGAACTCCAGGTAATGCAAAAGCGCCCACACGTAGAAGATCCAAAAAACCGCTCCAAGCTCCAAGCTCCGGCGTTGTGGTATTCGCGGTACTTCCAAGAGGAGAGTGGTATCAGAGCGCCCTCTTTCCCACACTGTCCTCTAGCACCATAACGCCTTTTATCGAAAAGTATTTCGGCCCCTGGTAGGGCGTTTGGATTCGGCCGGGTAAGCGTGGCGAAGTTATGCGCACGGGTTGCATTGGATTCTCTTCATTTGACGAGCTCGTGGGATGGCCCTGTTCCAACAGCGCTGCCACACTTCCTTTGCTGCTGGAGCGCCCGTCAAATACTGAGGCGTTGCCATCTACATCAGTATGATAGGAATGAAAGTCGATAACTGCATCCCTCTCCTCACTCAATAAGTGGCTTTCGTTGGCCGCCTACAATGGCCATGCCCAAGGCTCGGAGACCGGCCGGGTCGTTGGACCGAACGATGGTGGCTGCGGGTAACATGGGATTGTCGGGCGAAACGTGTGCGGCATCCTTGGCCGCTTGCTCGATGGCCTCCATCTCTTCTTTGCAGCCGGCATGATCAAAGGGGCATACGACGATGGGCTGTCGGAGTAGAATATCCCTCGCTGACGACATCTGGGCCTAGACTCATGTCAGCATCATAGCGCTAGCGTAGACCAAGTTCCTCACCTTCACAGTAAGGTAGTACTCAATCTTATAGAGCGTGCCGGTGGTGGTGAAGCCGTTGACGGCGTACATGGGGAACTCTTTTTTTCCCCGCGGTATTATGCCGTCTGAATCCCGCAGATCCTTCGCCGGAAACACTAGCCCCAGGTTCGTAAAGTAGCCAGCTTCCGGCATCTTGACCCCAACGGCCTGCGTCGTCTTTGCTAATGTCTTCACTTTCCTTGTCGGCTCGTCTCCTTCGTGATTGAAGATAATCTCTTCATCTATGCCGACAGTAATTTTCTGAATGGTGACCTTTTTCGCCTTGTTCAGCCAATCCGGGTTGGGGCTGAGCTTGATGTAGACCGATACGGGGTCCAGCGGACCATAACTCCATCTTGGCAAGCTTATACCCAGGGTGACGAGGTGGTCGGTGACGCGCTCAGCGCTCTCAGGTCGGTTATACATGCCGAAGGTGGAGAGGGTGTCGTATCGCTGTATTGGGACAGGGAAGGGATATTTCTTCTGTTCGGATGGCCCTTGCTGCACGGTTACGACCAGCTCGTAGAATGTCTCAGCTGTCCGGCTCGGCAGCTGTAGGCTCGCAGGTGGTACTCGCCGCGCCACCTCTTCCCCGCCACGACCATAGGGTATGAATATCACAAACGGTAGGTCCATGGACAGTATGCTCTCGTGTTCTCTTCCGTGTGCGCACCGAAATAGCAGCATCTCCTTGCCTACAATGTCTGTAATCTCTTTGCGCGGCGCCGCCAGGTGTTTCTTCGTGATGGACTCGGCGGAGGGGTGGATCGTCTCGCGCCGGTGCAGCGCAATGGTAACGAGCGATACATTGACAGGCGCTGAGACTCCGAGGAGCGGTCGTACTTCGACTTTGCCTTCTATTCGCGGCTGCACAGACGGTGGTTAGCATGGCTGACAGGACGGATGCGGAAAGAGCTCTGGTCACATCTTTCTGGAGTGACGCCTTGTGTGAAGTGCAAACTTGTGCCACGTACCAGTGTTGCCGATATGCCTGGATATCCCACCAGAAAGTTGCTGTTTGGCGGTCCGGAGACACGCACAAAGGCGGACATGGCTGCTCAGGGTCACGGACGTCGGCGCTGGCCTGGGCGGGCAGCGAGCGCCGCATGGGAGAGGACGCGGCCGTCTCGTCTGCTATGCGGCGGGCGGATGCGCGCGCGAGGCGGGAGGTCGAGACGATGCTAGGGAGCTCGACGGCCGTCCGGGAGCGGGACGGTGGGGTTGCGATGCGGCGACGGTGACCGCGAACGGGCGGGGCAGCAGGCGACGGCTGGGCTGGTGACACGGCGACGATGACGGCGGCGACGGAGGGACTGGAGAGGGGGGTGGGTGGAGGGAATGCGCGCGCTGGGTGCGGTGCTGGACCTTTGTGCCGTAGGGCTGGCCCGGCCGGTGGTGACAGGCCTGGGGTAGTAGGCTGCGCTGCGAGCTAATGAATATGGGACGTCGCGAATGTGGAGCGAGCGGGTGGGCGAGCTGAGGCGGCAGTGGATAATTGCCTGTAACAAAACAATGGGAGGGCAGCGGACGTGGGCAGCAAACGGCGGCGCGGCTCCGTCAGGGCGGGCGAGGCAGGCCGTGGTGCGGTGCGGTGCGGTGCGGTGCGCAGTGCTGGCTGGTCGCGGTGGGGAGACTGACTAGACTGGCTGAGAGGTGTCCGGCTGGGCCAGCGCCATTCGCACGTCGAGTTGGGGGCGTGGAGCTGAGCACTGAGCACCGAACACCATCGCTGCACCGAACAGCCACCACCACGCCCGCAACACGCAGCGGATGCCCGGCGAGCTGCACGCCGGCCATGTCAGTCACGGTACGTCCCCAGCCCGCCCAGTGCCCGTGCCAGAGCCCCCGTATGCCGTCTTGCTATCCCCGTCCGAGCTCCCCGTCTCCAATTCTCCGACGGCCACGTCCTGCCGCCTCTTCAGCATCCCCATGGTGTTTTGAAACTCTGACTGCATGCTGCACGGGAGCCCCAGCACCGTGCACATGCTTACTGCATCCCACTGTGCTAATGCGACTTCAGTTGCACACCACACGTGGTGATATCAAGCTCGAGATCTTCTGCGAGTCCGTGCCCAAGACGGCCGAGAACTTCCTCGCCCTCTGCGCATCCGACTACTACAATGGAAGCCCTTTCCACCGCATGATACCAGGCTTCATGGTGCAGACCGGCAGTCCTGCGTCCGATCCCAAGTCCAAGACGTCTGCGTCCATCTACGACACGCCCAACCAGCTCTTCGAGGACGAGATCCGGCCGGCGCTCAGGCACAATGCGAGGGGCATCGTGAGCATGGCGAACAAGGGTGCCCATTCCAACGGCAGTCAGTTCTTCATCACGTTTGCGCCGGCGCCGCATCTGGACGGGAAGAATACCGTCTTCGGCAAGGTCCTGGAGGGCACCGAGGTGCTGGATGAGCTGGAGAAATTGGAGGTGGACAAGAAGTCTCGGCCGAAAGAACGGGTGGAGATCAAGGACGTTACTATGCATGCCAACCCGCTGGCTGAATGAAGCGATATGGGTGAAATTGAGACTTCGCCAACAAGTAGTGCCTGCCCAGGTAGACAGCGACAAGGAAAGCCAGATAAGTGGGATGGTGTGAATTGCGACAACACGGGCATCGTTCCTGCCTCCCTGGTATCTAAGGACCCAACCCCCGTCCAGTTGGAAAAGCATTAGAGAGGACTGCCACCTAGAGGTTCTCAGGATATTGCGATGGAGGAACCGCGAACCCGGGAGTCACGAAACCCGCCACAGGCACCGCTACCGTCCGTTCGAGCACGGTTGTCACTTTTCGTCTTGTACATATGTCGCCCTGCGAGGTCTACCCGACGCAGGCAGTGCTTGTACCATGCCGGACGCTATGCCTCCAGCACCAAGGAACGGCCCTCAAGCACGTAAGCCGCCCAGCGAATCATCCTACATAATTCCT